GGCATATTTACGAATTCGTAGAATAGCCCTAAACTCCAGAAAAAAATGCATCTTTTATAATTATTTTTTTTTAAATTTACAAATGTCACAAAAATTATTGTTAAACGAAATATTAATTAAAATTTCAATTTCGGAATTGTTTTACTATTATTAAATAAATAAATAAAGCTACCATTCATTTAAAATATAAAAAACAAATACGTCTCCAAATTCTCAGTCAGTTCTCCTCAGTTTATGTTCGTTCAACCGTCATCTCTTACTGACTCATTGCATATCCCATATAGTCCAGACGGTATCTGTTTCAAAAAGCCATATTTGGGTGAATCGTATATCCACGGAGAGTTTTGGCTTTTTGGCTTTTTGGCTTTCAAATATCACTAGAAATGAAAATTTTTCTATGCGCATAAAAAATAACGTGGGCTTAACTTTTGGCGGCACAATATGTTAAAAAAATTGGAAAAATGTCATATTTTTCTTCCTATTTAATTATGTATCTTTTTAAGAGTTGATTTTAAGCGAAAATGGAAGAGGAAAAAAATGTTTGTAATTAAATTTTTTACAATATATGACTGGTTACAAATCGAATGAATCATGATTATTATGGTAAAAATCAAAAAAATCACAAAAATGGGGTTAAAAAACAATACGTTTTAGGGAATTTTTTTGGTGTATTTAAATTGGGTGTAGGACCTTTATACTTGGCTCAAGAAAACTTCATGTTATGTAGAATCATCATACCAAATTTCATCAAAATCGGTTCGATAGAATTTGCATAATAATTTTGCAATCCAGACTAAAAAAAAATTGCAAATTTTCAAAATTTTGCACAGCAAAAACCAAGGCCCTTAGATACTTGAAAATTTAATCACATATAGAAGGGCTCTCAGGGTTTCAAACTTTTTTTGAAAAATTCGAATCCGTCAATTAGGAGAGCTCTGGCGCTTGTTTAAACATTGGTCGAATTTTTATACTTATAAACAATTAGAACTTTGTGAATATTCAATCAAATCAAAATTTTTTAAGCAGGTTGTAAAAGTTCTTGGAAAGACGCTTCTTTAAAAAAAAAACAAATCGATTGATTAATTAACGTAACTAATTGATCAATCGAATTTTTAGTTAGTTTAGAAGGCGAGATATTTTGCAATATCTCGCCTTCTATTCATCGTAGAAACTTATTTTTTTTAAACGGGTAGCTCGACGAAAAAATAACAATGGGCATATTTACGAATTCGTAGAATAGCCCTGAACCCCAGAAAAAATGCATCTTTTATACCTAATTTTTTTTAATTTATAAAAATGTCACAAAAATTATTGTTAAACGAAATATTAATTAAAATTTAAATTTCGGAATTGTTTTACTATTATTAAATAAATAAATAAAGCTATCATTCATTTAAAATATCTCCATTTCTAAATTTAAGAGTGCTAAGTTTCTGAGTTTACAACTGGAAGATTCACTAAATTGGAAGGAACAATGTAATAATTTAAAAGTGTTCACCTGTCTTGATTAGAAAAGAAATCACTTCTTCCAATAGATGTACTCCCATTTATTTAAAGAAAATAAATAAATAAATTCACCACTGACAAATCAGTGGGGGTCGGTACTAACATTCGGTGAAACTTCAGAAAATGGAAAACTATAAGCTTCCCTCGATTTGGTGTTCAACTCAGAATAAATACAGAGTTCCACGCTTACATTACTAACATAGGAAAAGATAATAGTTCATCGGATATTTAACGAATAAATTAATAAAAGTTCGTTACAGTGGAATAAAATCTATAGAAATGTATTGCTGGTTGCCTATTTGGTAACTTTGATGTCCATCGCAGATGTTGTCACTTGTAAGTTTGGTTGCCTAACATTTACAACCATCAACGTCTATTATACACAGATAGACGAAATATTGAATGTTTGGTTGCCTAACTTCTGCATCCGTTAAAGGATAAAAATCGAAATTTTCCAAAAACTGAATGAGCTAGAGGAACTGAATGTAGTTTTGGATTGTCTAGCGCTGTCATAGTCAATCTGAATTTTTTCAGATTTTTCTGTCCTAAAAATTTTTCAGAAAATCGAGTTCGATTTGTTGTAAAAAAAATTTTTGGAACTCGGAAATATCGGAAAAGGTTCCTTTAGACTGTCACGGTACTGGCAAATCGAAAACTGAAATGAATTTCTCTAGAACGCGTGATTTTCAAGATATTTAATTTTTTTCTTCGGGACAAAAAAAACAGATTACAACAACGTATACTACGGCCCAAACTAGATATGGTGCCGTCTTTAAGCAGTGTTTTAATTTTTTGAGAATTTTCGTGGTTTATGAAAATTGTTACAAAATTAAAGAACTCATCTAAAAACCGGTTCCGTACACGACTGGGGTCGTCAAACATACTGTGATGGTCGCTATTTTTACAAGAGCTACCGTCAAGAAAAAAAAAAGAAAATCTCGAAAACTGGAAGACCCAGAGGAACTGAATGCAGATTTGAATCGGTAAGATCGGTTGGTCCACCGGATTTTTTTCAGATTTTTACGAGTCCTAAACCTTTTTGAGAAAATCGATGGTTTATTGATTTTTTGGAAAAAAAAAATCCGAAAAAATTAAAGTGCGTTTCTAAAGGCGGTTCCGCACGCAACTGGGGTCGCCAAACACCAGAGATGAACTGAATGCAGATTTGGATTGATTAGCGCCGTTATAGTCTACCTGAATTTTTTCAGATTTTTCTCAGCCCTAAAAATTTTTAAGAAAATCAGCGGACATCCATACTTCGGGAAAAAAGTTTTTGGATATCGGAAAAACCGGAAAAAATTCCTCTAGACTATAACAATACTGGCAAATCAAAAACTAAAATGAATTTCTCTCTAGCAGATGGTACTTTTTTTTTTAAGATAAGATATTTACCTTGTGTTAGATGTCGTTTCCGTCCCAGACGTCGTCGTCATCCCAGTGTCTTTGTCTTCGGTGGTATCATCAAGATTAATGTTTTCTTTATTCTCTTGTTCTAGCCTCTCTAGCGAGATAAAAAAATGTAGGAAGGGAATATCAATTTTAAGAGCTATACAGGGTGTGCCATTTAATACTCCCGCTGCCAATATCTCCCAAATGAAGAAATTTATTTTAGTTCCAGTTTCAGAAATTGGAGTTGTTAGGTCCCTCGAATAGCTTCAAATTGTAGTTAGAACTATTAGTTCCTACTTTCTGTATAGATGGCGTGGGGATACAAACAATTTTTTGATCCTTGGAATGCGGAAATGCAGTCCATCTGACAGATCGTTAAATTTTGAGTAATTGTTGTAATATAAAGTTTTTCTCAAAATTTACTTGTTTTCTAGATAACACAGAAAACATTGATTTTTTTACGTTATTTTTATCAAACTTCCAATCTGAACTCGAAATTTCAAATTCAAATCCAAAATTCGCAATTTCAAGAACAAATTCAAATAAGAAATTTTGAGTTCCAGATTGAAATGTTGACTTCAACTCAAAATTTTTTGTTCCAACTCTAAATTTTGGTCAATTTTTTAAAAAATTTCCAAACAAACCCCTACATTTTTAGTTTGAAGATAAAATTTTGTGGTGAATGTAAAAATAAAATTTAGATACAAAACAAAATTTAAAATTCATAAATCAATACTAATGCAATAACGAAATATATATAAAAAAAATCTCATGTACACCCCAGTGTAAAAAAATGTATGCCGCTTTCTACTTACATATCGTTTGAAATGTTGAAAGGATCCCAATCAGGAGACTACCGAGGTGGAGGCAAAGTGTCTTGTAAAATTTTTACCTTCACAAGTGTGGCTTGTCCTATAAAACAAATTATAAATAATTTAATTTTTGCGACCAGAAAATAAAATTAACTCAATCTATTTTTAACATTAACCTGCAACTTGTTTTGTCGTCGGGAATATCAAGAATACTATTCTCATCGTTTAGATCTAACGTAAGAAAGGAAGGTTTCCGAATAGACTTCATATCCTCCATGTCCATATCAGGTCGTCTTCCCACCAGCCGTACACCAAATCCTCATTCTTCACAGGAAAAATCGATTATCAAGTGTCGTCCTGCTCCTGGTCCGGCCTCGGTTTATTCAATCTTTAAATTAACGTAAAAAAAAGTTCAGTCGTTTGTCACCGTATTTAATTTTATGTCAACATTTGAAAAGATAACAAACACCCCAGTAAATAATTATTAAAATACTAAAAGCTTTCCCCTTTTTTTTATAAATGCTGTATTTGCCAAATTTACTTTTTTAATGAACGTATACTAGTATACTATTTTTATATAATTTAAAAACCAATGTCTAGTACAAGAATAGTTTTTCACGCATTCCATAGATTTTCGGGCAACACCCACAGGTTACTACGATATCACCTGTGTTTCCGGGAAAAATTAATTTTGGGAAAGTCTGCGTCTGTCAGTTTTTGCCTAAAAATCGAAATATCTTAGAAACGGAATCCTAAGTATGGAGTGTGCTATATGTTTTCAACTTCAAAATAAATGCTCTTCCCTAAAAATGTAATAATATACAGGGGGTTCCATTTAAAATAAGAAAGTTGGTATCAACGTCCAGTATAACCTTGAAAATATTTTAGCTTGTTAGGCCTCATGACCTGTATCACACCATCACAATTTCAAAAAAATCCTTCGAGCCGTTTCTCAGATATCCATCGATGGAGTTTGTGGTAAGACACCCTGTATAGTTCACCGATTTTCTCGTAAAATTGTAGGACTCAGAAAAATCTGAAAAAAATCCGGTACACCATAGCTTACCAATCCAAATCTGTATTCAGTTCCTTTCTGCCTCAAGTTTTCGAAATTTTAGATTTTTTTATTTCGACAGACACACTTGCACAAAGTACAAAAAAACTGAAGTACATCTTTATGTTAAGTACTTCAGTTACTAGAAGTCGTTACGTTTCAGCGTTGTTGCCGCAATAAAGATGCACTTTACTAAATACGGTTTATGATTGTTAGGAGCAATACAAATTAAGTATAACTTAACTTCAAGAATGGTTTTATTAAGTTGTTCTCAGTGGAATTTTGCTGTGGTGTGGTGTGCCCAAATAACACAAATTACTCAAAGTTTTATTGTTCAGACAAAACACGAAACATGAAACGTTTCTGTTTTTTTTTATTAATTAATTATATAATATAGTAAACTACTACCAAAAGATGAAAAATGTACATGTACGTTTATAAACCACAAAACTCTGCTACTATTGTCACGTATTGCTAGAGACCCCTGCATTAACGATGGCCGCTAAGTCTTCCATCTCGCTTCTTTCTTTCAGACGTTCTCGAATCAGTTCTGCAATAGCCTTCTGGGTCTGCCTCTCCAATTTAGCTAATTTCTTCGCCACGTCTCTCTTTAAATCCCAGTCCGGTTTCCTGGGGGCTAGAGAAGTGACATCCAGTTGATCGATTACTATTTCCGATTTTGCCGACTCCAGCTGGTCCTTCACCTAAAAGAGAGAGTCCTTCAGTTTGTGGACATTTTAAACTCTAAATATGATAAATCATTAACGCATCTCATTTGAATATTTACCTCTGAACTGACATCGCCTGGACGTGCTGGTTCTACCGCTAACTCTGTTAAATCATCATCTGCCGGTTTATAATTTCTAAATATAGGTCTTGGCAAAGCTTCGGCCTCTTCTGAATGAGACGTCCCATTTACACTTACACTAGCTCCCTCCCTTTTACGTTTGAGAGCTTTTAACCTCTCTTTCCTCTTCAAGGCCTCATCTTCTAAATGTCCGACATTACTGGTAGCCATAAGTATCGTCATGAGACTATTTAACTAACTTATTACTTGATTAAATTATAAAACTTACAGAGTAAAATTGTTAAAATGTGGAAAATTTGTTTGTTTCTTAATACAAAATTAGTTTGATATATTTGACAGATTTTCTTCTTCTTCTTCTTTCCAAACATTTTGCGTTCAATTTTTCGTTATTTAAAATCTTCGTTACTAAAGCAATTTTCTGCTTGAAAGCTCTTAGACCTCTTTTATGCACGCGTTTTTCTCCTCTCAACGCGAAATTGAGAAAAATGCTGTATATTTCTGCTCCATTTTATGCACGCGTATTCTATCAGTTGTCGCCAGTTTCATGCCACACAGTAGTCAGTGAAGTACATGAAAATGGATCCGTGTATATTGTATTTGTGCTATAAAAAAATATGTAATAGAAAACGTAAGAGGCGATGGGCAGTACATCCAATTAATAGAAATAGAATTCAATTGCGTCCATTGCATCCATGTCCCGCTTGATCAATAGCTAAACTAAAACTAAAACAAACTGTGCTAAAACTATTCTTGACAGACAGAGCCACTGGACTTGCGACAAAGAACGCTTTGCATAAAAACGCCGATATACTTTCGTGCTTTTTCGGAACGCGTGTCGCCAAGCGTTCTGTAAAACCATCGCGACAGAATTGAAAACGCGAGAGCAAAAAAACGCGTGCATAAAAGAGGTCTTATTGTACGAGATACGAACTAATTTTACGCAAGTCTCCGTAGCATTACAAGAACCGATAAACTTTTTTTTTCTTTTACTTTTTATTTTAAGATAATAACATCAAAGTTTACAGAATACATGTTCTATTCTAAATAAATCTACCTACATATTTTCAAATATGATTTAAAAAGTAATTAATAATCAGTTTGTTGACATTTAAGTAATTTCTTATTGCGATCATGGTGATGTGTAAGCATTATTTTTTTTATATACACACCTTTAAAAAAATTAATTTAATTACTTATCTAGGAATGTAAGATGTTTAATTGATAAATTTTTAGCACGGTTATTTCCACGACGCCATTAACAAATAACAAAAATTAAAACGAATTAGGTATCTTGTTATCGTCTTATCTCGAGATAGTAATTGTAGAACTCATAAACCTCGCGAATCAAAGCGAGCGCTGACCGCCGACTGAAAACAATAGAAAAAAAGCAACAATCGCTCCTCAAGTGAGCTTTAAGTGTGCCATGCGCGTATCCTAAGGCTTGGAAGTGATTCATACCATCTCTATGATATGCACTGGAGTAGAAGAAAGACCCGTACCCGTCCGGCAAAGCACCAAGAAAGCTAAAATTTAGCTTTTGTTCGGCCGTTTCTCAGTGTACGTTTAGTGGAGCCGCGCGATGGTCGTTTGTTTTTATTGAGATCGCACGCCCGCAGAGAGTGACTTTCACCAGCACACCTTCACTCATCTTTTGTTTATCTGCAGGTGAATACTAAGTCGGCTTTTGTTTCTGATAACAGGCCACGGGTAAGTCGATTTACACATATCAATATGTAAATGGTCCGGAAAACGTCTCTTTGCATATAAGATTCCGTTCCACCCCAACTATCAACTCGAGATTTTATTCAATTAGATAAGGAATTATTAATAATTGTGCGTGTGCTGACATGTATTTGTTCAGTGATGCTACTTTCAATGCAAATATCATTCTACTTACTTAAATCTCTTTATTTTATCAGGTGTTCTCCGAGGATAGGCTTTGCTTTAATATAATAAGTGTGCAATTGTTGAATTAAATTTGTTTTTAATTGAATGTGTTTAGTTTTGTAGCTCAAGGTTACAATAGTGCAACTTAAGTGATACACGATTTAAATTACGATGCTATATAGGTACTGATTATATACGAAATAGGTAGGTAATGTGTTCAGGAATTTTTTGGACTGGAAGAACCAAACGGTTTTAATTTTTGTCGCTGCTGGCTATAGCGCTCGAATAGTTTAAATTAACCCAAGTCAACGACATGGACTTAATTGGTCTCATAATTCGCTAAAAATTACGTAATCTTTCTCATACAGAGTGTTCCTGTAAGTAAGAGGAAAGTACGTGAGATGAATGAACAAAACGACTTCAGCATTTTTCCACGGCAGTTGTTGATACCGATACAAACTTTCCTTCTTAAATAAGTCTTATAAAGGCGTTATTCCTATTTCATGCAGTGAAACAAATATTCGTTTTCACTATTTCCCATATAAATATAAATTTCATTTCACTCATTTCAAATGTAATCCGGTTTTCATTTGAATGCTCTACTCCTTTCGTATTTATATCGTGTTCAATTCTGTTGAAGTATTACTAATTAATTTTGCAAAAATGAATATGCTTATATCGTATCTGTCATATTAATTATCGTATGCAAAGAAATGCCAATTTTGCTTTGTTTTATGTTTAACAACACGGGGAAGGCTTCTGTGCTTTAGTTTTGATCACCCTGTAATTATACCTAATTTCTGATAATCGCGTGTTATTACTGCAAACTGGTACACGAACTATTATTAAATTTACGGTGTATTTAACATAGTTAATCACCGTATCATTAATCGTGGCTTTTATTAACCTTTGTTTTGATAGGTAAACAAACAAAACATTACTAAGAATCTTGCGCGAGACGGTACAAAAATTGTGTCGTCAAGAACAAGGACAAGACGTTGTTTTCGTACCAGTTGCTGTCGGATCCCTCCTCTACTTCCGAATGACCCCTCGTTTGACTTATTTTATCAAACAGGATGTCCGGAAATCCGACTTGGGTTTTGAATTCTGACGACATTAAAACAGACTACAGTTTTAATGGCATATTTTCGTGTGTAATAATCGTGTACGTGTCCATTGCAACACATAAATCAATATTTTTATTTGGTTTGAAAAACATTTATGCCACAGAATGCAATAAAAATGTTGTGTGCAAAGGACGAGGGAATAATATAGTTAAAGTACCCCAGTGAAGATACTGACAATTAGAACAATTCCAGCAATTCCTGAACATTTCGAGTTATGTAGAAAAACACGAAATGTTTCACAACAATTTAAAATCCCTCTTATCAACAGACCGGAAATATATTTTTCATTTTTTTACCACAATCATGGGCGTATAGCTAGAATTTTTGCTTGAGGTGAGACCAGGGCAAGCTCTATGGAGCCTTTAAAAATAAGCTTTCGCAATATTCGCAAACTTGCCGATTAAAATATCAAACACCTTAACATGTTTTTTAATTTTATTCTAAATAAAAAATGTCACGCAGTCATCGACTTACGGATATGATGATATGAAGATATGATAGACGATAATATTAAATCTCTCTTAGCTATGCCTATGATGAGCATTTTATAGCCATTATACCATCTTTATACAGGATGTTTCGGTTTATATTTCGATTATTCTTTCACAGGAAATATTAGTGCTGATACATATTTGAAAAAAAACATATTTTATAAAAAATTTCGGATTTTGATGAAATTTTATTTAACGATTTGTGTGATTAAAATTAAACAATTACTAAATTTGATTATAAAGTCACTGTTTATAACCCATTGTGGTGATTGTAAGTAAAAAGATCCTATTTTATTCTAAAAACGGTAGATTTTTTACTTATTTTTGCTTTCTTAACAGCTACCAAGCACCGGAAATTTTACCCGGAGTTTTCCCCGGAATCACTCCGGACTTTTTTCCTGGAGCCCCCGGAGTTTTTTTGGAGTTTCCCCCCCGCACTTTTTCCCGGACTTTCTCCCCGGAGTTTTTCCCTGGGCTCTTTTCGCAGGACTTTTCACCCGGAGCATTTACCCGAAGTTTTTCCTCGAACCTTTCTACCGGAGTTTTCCTGAAGTTTTTTCCGGGACCTTTTCCCCGGTACTTATATTCTTGCCGCTTGTATAGAAAGTTTTTGTTTCAAAAATAGAGAGCAATTTTCTAAGTAACTCTAATTTTCGAACTATAGTAGGATCGTATTCGATGCAAAGTAGAGCAAAAAGTTGTCAAAGTTGTCCTTTTATCAAACGAAAATCGTGTCATCATTTTTAGGAGGCGTAAGATAAATCATTTCAAATTTAAAATAAAATTCAATGTAAAATCTGAAATACCGCTGCATACGCACTGTGTTCTGGTAGTAGCTGTAGTCGCCCAGGTGCATCGAGTGTACGAACTGGTCGGTTATACGTCAAATACTAACCTGGCGAGCTTTGCCGTCAATTAGAGAGCGCTTCCAAAAAACAAGTAAACAACAGTGGCGCGTACAGAGGTAAAATGTAGTACATATGTGGAATTTAGGAAACAAACTGGATTTATAATAAATTACATATTGAGATAAATTAACGCATTCACCACGAGAGAAAGCAAGAAAAGACCTTTCCAACGAGGTATAACACTATGGGCTTTTGATGAGCCAATACTTAAAAAAATACATTTTTCTGATCAGACATTAGGGGCTTCCCCCACTCTTTCTGTCGAGAGATAGAATAAAAATTTTTTCCCGAAGCTCTAGGGCCTATACTTTGCCTAATATCGTACCTCGCCCATCTTAGTGGGACACCCTGTACACGATGTTTCTTAAGTACAGGTCAAAAATTCAGGGGCGTATTCTGTGGCCAAAAATAGGGTTTCTTCATTAATGTTTTGACCTCTACTTATGAAACTCCCTGTACATGTATTTTACATATGTAAGTATAACTGAATGTGTACAGGGATCTTTAGACAGCGTGGATTCATCGCAGACGTTTTTACCCATTTCAGTGGAAGATAAGATAAAAATATGACGAAACCAACGGATGTATATGTTTCATGATTCCAGTCCTCTGAAATGTTTACTATTGCTTCTAGACTTTTACATTTAAAATATTGCTAAAATAACGAATATTTCACAAGATTTAATCCTATGTACTTAAAACTATCCCTTATCTTTGAGAACAATCTATTACGTTATCGTCAAAATAACATAAGATAATAGTAACAAAAGTAGACGAGAGCACATCAATCAGTTTTTACTCTGTTATCGCAAGTAGCTTGTGCCCAAAAATAACGTCTAAACGGCTGTGATCAAAATTCGTAAATTCTTTGTTAATTAAGCATCTGGTACGTAGGATTTTAACTGTTTCATTAAAGTATCTAATCGGTTAATTTTACTGATAGCGCAGTTAAAAGTTTCCGAATTAATTCTCTCCGTTTGAATTCATTCAAACATCTGGTGTTAGTATTTTAAAAATTATAAGCTGTTATGTGCGCTAAATTTTACATACCTACAGCCTTTCAGGAGCCTTAAGTGAATGAACGGACATATTTTTTACAGTAATATTAATATAATGACTCATCGCTATGATGCCAACTGACCGTTGGGTACTCCCCGTAGAAAAAAATTCTTAAAAAATATACATTGTTATATCTTTATCTCTAGACGAGTAGACGCGATAGATAAATTAATCAGTATATTATTTTTAAACTGATGATGTAAATTCGTTAAAACTAGGTAGTTAATTTATTACCGATGTTTTTCTCGAGCAAATTTATGTTAAATTTCAACTGATTTTCTCGTTATCACGCAACAAAATTGCCATATGGGATTTGCTCACAGATTTATATTTTCTCTCAAGATAAATGACTTTAAAAAATTTTGCAATTTTGGTCAAATGACAATGTTTCTTAATGATGTTATTTTAAAACGATACCATGACAACGAAAAAAAGACCCGGAATTTTTTAATGGCGAGTATCCTAACTAGTCCAGACGGTATCTGTTTCAAAAAGCCATATTTGTGTGAATCGTATATCCACGGAGATTTTTGGCTTTTTGGCTTTCAAATATCACTAGAAATTAAAATTTTTCTATGCGCATAAAAAAACGTGGGCTTAACTTTTGGCGGCACAATATGTTAACAAAATTGGAAAAATGTCATATTTTTCTTCCTATTTAATTATGTATCTTTTTACGAGTTGATTTTAGGCGAAAATTGAAGAGGAAAAAAATGTTTGTAATTAAATTTTTTACAAAACATGACTGGTTACAAATCGAATGAATCATGATTATTATGGTAAAAATCGAAAAAATCACAAAAATGGGGTTAAAAAACAATACATTTTAGGGAATTTTCTTGGTGTATTTAAATTGGGTGTAGGACCTTTATACTTGGCTCAAGAAAACCTCAGGTTACGTAGAATCATCACACCAAATTTCATCAAAATCGGTTCGATAGATTTTGCATAATAATTTCGCAATCAAGATTAAAAAAAAATATTGCTAATTTTCAAAATTATGCACAGCAAAAAGGCCCTAGATACTTGAAAATTTAATCACATATAGAAGGGCTCTCAGGCTTTCAAAATTTTTTTGGAAAATTCGAATCCGTCAATTAGGAGAGCTGTGGCGCTTGTTTAAACATTGGTCGAATTTTTATACTTATAAACAATTAGAACTTTATGAATATTCAATCAAATCAATTTTTTTAAAGCAGGTTTTAAAAGTTCTTGGAAAGACGCTTCTTTAAAAA